GCCAATGGGATTATAACTGACATTCTACAGACTGCATTGGGTATAAAGAGCTCCCAACAACTGCCTCTGGAAATAGTGCAGACAGCATTTCCACTGATGGAATTAAATGAAATCAGCTGCATTGTGCTGCAGCCATCCAGTTTCCTCTTTGGCTGCAAGAACTGGCATGAACTATGATAAACCTCAGATAAAGCAGTCTCAGTCCCCTGATTTCAATGGAGAACTTATTTATTAGTATTCAGCATAACAATGCTGACTGACTTTTAATTTAAAAAAGAGGAGGAGGGAGAGAATGTGATAAAAATCTTATACCTAGAAGTGTGGTTTGAGTTTACAAGCGACTCAAATACTCCTTGATGACATCCTTAGCAAGCAGCTACTAAATGTACAGCTAGCCCTCTACTCAGGAGAATGGGTAGTGGACTCCCTATGAATCCTGCTGAGTTATTGAACATATTTACAGAACTGAAACATGCTGTTTCTCACTGATGTATGCAACATCTACCGCACTCCAGCTGTAAACAACACAGAAGGAAGGAGCATTTAAAAGAATATTTTCTTTAGTTACATTCAGCATTAGAACGCAGGATTCTTTTTCAGACACTCCCCCGCCCCCAAATTGCATTGTGTTTAAGCAGTCCTAACAGATCACTTCTTTGCCACTATAGAGGAAAGATGGGATATGTTAGGTAAGGACTGGGTATCAAAAGCAACAGATTTCCTTTGTCGCCTTGGGAAGGTCACATAACCACTCTGTGCCACAGTTTCTTGATAATTTTACCTTCTTCATAGTAGTGCAAAATTAATTAATGTTTGCAAATCATGATGAGAACCTCAGATAGAAAGTGACAGAGAACCAAAATCATAATTAAAAATACAGTAGTGTTTAGCTGATTGATCCATCTGTATAGCTGACATTTCAGACATTTAAAAGATCAGTAAGTTAAATCAGAACACTAACCATGTATTTTCTCTGTGAAATATTTTTACATAGTAAAGATAACCTTGCATAATCCACTTGTGGTTCTGTTTTGTTTCACTTACATATCATGAACAGGAGGGCATCCCTCACACAACACTCCCTAACAGTATACATTCTCTCCACAGATACTACTATGGTAAATGTAATGGATTACATGGTTACATATTTCACATACAACACAGTAAATCATATGCACTATAAAATACATAACTGAGCAATGCAATAACGTAAGTTCAAATGCATACACACAGGCACAGTACACTTATGGACAGAGGTAGCTCTCTAAAAGCCTTAAACTAAGGTCCGCACATAATAGCTATCTTTAGTACAAACATTACAATTAAATAAATAGAGTGGACCTTATTGCATGCTTTCACTTAGCACACCCAAGCTGACAGTTGCACAGATGTATTCAAAAATACTCTGCATGCATCCTCTTGCCAGGTGTGTGCAGTTCCTTCCTATATCAAATGAGTAAAAACTGGACAAGTAAGAGTTGCAGAACTGGGTCTCTAGATGGTAAACTCTTTAGACAAGGACCTTTTCTTCTTTCTCGACTGTGAAGTGTTATGCATATCAACGGCACTGTAAGGATCCTGCTTATGTACAACTATTGAACAATATAACCCCCCCATTCTCAATTTGAGGAGGACAGGAAAGAAATATAGTAATGAGGGCAGAGAGGTACAGCCATTAAAGTAGATATATAAAACTGAATGATTTTTCATGGCTGAAATAACAATGGTTTTAACTTGTGGACATTGTTCCTTTTAACCCTCTACTTGCTTTATCTTGCTTTTGTTTGTGCCCCAGGACTGCAAGAGGGTTTGAGAAGAACCTCCCCAAAACTAAAAGTGGGAGAAATTTTTCTTCACCATCAGCGATGGAGAGACTACACTATCATCCGAATCGTCTGAGTGAGCCTCATCCAAAGGCGGAGAGAGTGTGGACTGCAACTGGTTCTGGGAGGACATGACTGAAATAACCACAAAGAAAAGAGAAACATCAATAAACATCATTGACAAAACCAGGCCTTTGTGGGAAGCGTAATATTCTCTGGGCCATTAGGTTACCACAATGACCTACTGTCATGAATAATTCTGTTCCCTCTTTTCCTGAATACAGTTATTAACACTATCCTCTCCTGCAAGAGACTGGCAAGCATTAAACTGACATACTAACCATACTCGACTTTCTCTTACTTTCATTAAATCTTCTCAAGTGATTACACATCACAAAATAAAGCAGTTTGAAATTGAAGTCATCTCACATTATAAAAACAGATATTTAGTAGCAGTCTAGAAAAGGAAAAACTGACATAAGCAAGATCAAGTCAAGTGAAAGTGTCATGGAGAGGCCTTCAGACAGTCAGGAGTAAAGAAATGAGAGACAGGTGGCTGAGGACAATGATTGCTGACTCTCAAAATGCACTATAAAATACATATATAAATACTTACACATTAACAACCAAAAACTGTGACCAGACTATGTTTGTATCTTTTAAAAATATTTTGGATTAACAGAGGAAGGTCCTTCACTTAACTTGATGGCATTCTTCTATAGACTTTCAGAAAAACAGAAAAGTAATAAGAATGTTGGGGGTGGGGGCAAGATCTGGGCACTCAGAGCCCATGGAATGGAGGACCTTGGCATGGGGGAAGAAGACACACGGAGCCCCTGCAAGATGTGTTAGGGAGATTGGACAATTCCCTGAAATACAGGAGGATGGGAAGATGGCACGCAAGGACTTTGGGTAGGAGAGAACTGGATGAAAGCAAGGATCCTCTGAGGTATGAAATGTGCTCAGTCTACAAAAGCCATAAAGTATACAACCCCCACCCTCCTCAGGCAAATGAAGCTATGTACATTCCATGTGAACTGCTGTTTAGAAGATGAAGGAAGATTTTTCAGAAAAAAATATTTTTGAATGAGAGTACTGAGGATAGAAGTAATAAAGGGAAGCTGACATACTAATAAAAAGATGTGACTCCCACAATAAATTGCCGATTTTTAAAAGATCAGTCTTGCCTGTTATTATTCTGGTCACTTAGCTTGTGTCCTCCTCTTAGGTTTTAGGCATTCTGGGGCATGTTTGTACAGAGTTTAGCTTAATAGGGTCCTTATTCTGATCGGGCAGTATTACAATACAAATAAATAATAATCACCACTAAGCCCCGTGCGCTAGCTTAGCTGCATTCAGACAGTGCCTTGTATACTACTAAAGAGGTGCAAAAAAAATGCCACCCCAGTTAATTAATGAAGCCAGAAATGCAAAGCTCCAATCTGAGATGGAAAAGGAATAAATCAATGAGTTTCACATATTGTGGTTGTCATCCCTATCTGACCAACTCTAAGGAAAGAAACAAATGTGAAGGAACAAGTAGAATCTCACTGAAAAAAAATTAAAAATCAGTCTCCAAAGACTGGTTATATTCAAAAAGCTTTGGATTTGAAATAGTTAAAGAAGTCACATGAAATGAAGGCCTTCAATAAAATGCCACTTACTTTAGCATTTTCCACATAGTGGAGTTTTACCTCTCTATTTATAGCTCAGTCTAATTTTACAAAGAGACAGTTAAGCCGTGACTTCATTAAAGCTTATAAACTAAATACTTCTCTGGAGAACAAAAATTTCATAATGGCTCTTTTACCTACCAAAGGTAAAACACAATCCAGCACTTGGAAGTTAAAGGTAAACAGTTTCAGACTAGAAATCAGACATACATTGTTAATAGAGGGTAATGAACCATTGTATCAATTTACTAAGGGTTATGACAAAAATCTCTACCACTGGCAATTTTCAAATCAACACTGGATTTTTTTCTAAAATATGTCCTCTAGTTTAAACACAAATTAATTCAGGGAAAATTGGGTGGCTTGTGTTATCAGACAGTCATACAAGATGACCATAGTAGTCCCCTCTGGTTTTATAATCTATGAATCCAGTAGAGACAGTACAATAAACACCAAGATGCCTCTAAACCTGGATAATACCTATTGATTCTGGCCTATATACATGTTGTCTTTAACACGTAAACATTTACAACTCATCTGAAAAGAATGCCAAAGGGCAAGGTAACTAAATAGCTTCTTGCAAAAATTATTTCCACAGAACACTTACAGCTGATCAAAAATCTAGAGTTAATCAAATACAAGTTTGAGGTTGGAAGGCAGGAGGTGAACAGCTTATTCAGCTGCAGAATAATAGGAAGCTATCAAGTCCCTTCCTAGCTATGAAATGACCAGAGAAGAGCATTATTGCATTGGAAACCTTTTTCATTAGCAAATTGTTAGATCAGGCATAAGCTAAGAGTTAGAGAAGCTGAATTTTTAGTGAATGGGATGGAATTAAATGGTTAAATTAGAACCAACTGCAGGGTAATCAGATGGTATGCATGATAGAGCATTCTGCTTCCTTCAGTAGTTAGTTGAATTTGCCTTTTGGGATGATTTGGTTATGCTGTCTATAAATGCCCATGCCTAAGGGTAAAAAGTCCAAACATCTGTTAGATTAATATTCATGTGTGTGCTTGCTCTCTCTTCAGTTGCATCCTAAATATCTTCTAATCACCAAGAGAGTTTTGAAAATCTGCCACTTTCTTAGGGGCAAAGAATAACCCTTTGCCCCCCAGTCTCTTTCTTTCAATACTCACCAGAAGAGGATTGCAAGGACAAAAGTTTGTGCTCCCTTGATTTTCTCTCTTCCCCTTCTGCACTAAGTTCCTCCACAACTTCTTCACTGGTTAGTTCACTGTTTTCACCATCTGAAATAATTTAGCTGTCAGAGAACTCATGACTGAGGAGTGATGGTTCTCTATTATAATTAATTATTTGTATTATAGTACTGTATTACTCATTAGCCAGATTTTTTAGAGCTAAAGGTTTTTATTTACCTGGTCTCTCATGAACCTGGAGACAACTGAAAAGACATGGTCACATTTATTTGGCTGACTGGAGATGCTATTTTATTAGCAGATAAATATATCCCCTTTAAGCAAGAATGATGAAATCCTCCCAACCTCTCCATGGTTGAAGCCTGAAATGCCATAGAAACTCCCTGGCTGCATCTAGACTGGCATGATTTTCCGCAAATGCTTTTAACGAAAGCATTTGTGGAAAAGAGCGTCTAGATCGGCACGGACGCTTTTGCGCAAAAGCACTTTTTGCGGAAAAGCGTCCGTGCCAATCTAGATGTGGTTTTGTGCAAGAAAGCCCCGATCGCCATTATTGCCATCAGGGCTTTTTTGCGCAAAATGGTTCTCAGTTGTCTACACTGGCCCTCTTGCACAAAAGCATTTGCTCAAGAGGGCTTTTTCCCAAATGGGAGAGTCATTGTATTTGCGGAAGAACACTGACATTACATTAGATCGTCAGTGTTCTTGCACAAATTCAAAGCGGCCAGTGTAGACAGCTGGCAAGTTTTGCCAGTCTAGAGATAGCCCCTAAGTATAGCTACATAGTGAGCGTGAGCTGGAAGTAGACAGACTGCAGAGAGGCTCATCATATCCTCTTGGATACTACATTTACCCCTAGAAGTAGCTCCTCCAAATCAAAGTTGTGACAAATAGGTTAGACAGTATGGGTGCATCTACACAGTAGGGCTGAACTCGAAATAAGCTATACAAATTGAGCTACGTCAATTGCATAGCTTATTTCAAAATTGGGAGCGCCTACACAGCACTTATTTCAAAATAGAGCATTCTTCCTCCGACTTCCTTTACTCCTTGTACAATGAGGGTTACAGGAGTCGGAGTAAGAAGTCCTCCAGCTTGATAGTATTTCAACATTATTTTTAAATAACAGCCTGCTGTGTAGATGCGGACTAAGTTATTTCGAAATAATGTTGCTGCATAGATGTACCCTTTGTGGGAAACCACACTGTCTGCCTACCTGTTTTGTGGTTATAGAATTTCAGTCTCCAAGACTACCAATCTTCTATTACACCTAAAGTTCTCTGGCAAATTGTGAGCGTGCCCATTCATAGCTTACATGCTTCTGAACATAGAGGGAAGTGAGATTACCAGGAGAGGTTGATGTGAAGGCTGAAAGTAAGCGTTTCTTGAGTGCTGGTGAGATTGGTTTCTTTTTCCTATAGGAAACAGCAGTACATGTTCTTTCACTTGAAGCACTGGAGGCAAAAGTCCTGCAAAAGATGAACCGCATTAGTATGAAGCATGGATCACTAATCCATCTGCAGAAAATGAAGGCAAGAAAACTGAGACAGATACAAGAAAGAAAAAGAAAGAGAAAAAAGAAAGAAAGCTATAACTCATAGAGGTGACAACTTGTAAACCAGATACGATTTCATAAGAGTTCATTTTATGTTGCAACCACCTTCTTGTTTAATCTTCCAAAGTACAACATTGGGCAGCATGGATGATGTGAGTCTGCTTTGAATTACATTATTGCTCTATGATTGTCTGATTGCTGTAAGTATGCTTCCTGACTATATGTCACTAAGTCAAAAGAGGCTCTTAGGAAAAAGTATCAGGAATGAAAGCAATCAGAAAAAATACCTAATGGAGCATTCAAGGACAATAAGGTAATTGGGGACAAACTGAATTTTTTGCATTAGTCTTCACAGCGAGGATATCAAGGATATTTCCAAACTTGACCCATTATTTTTAAGAGACAAATCTGAACAGGTGTCAACAAAGGAGGTTTTAGAACAAACTGATAAATTAAACAGCAATAAATCACCAGGACCAGATGGTATTCAGCCAAGATTTCTGAAAGAACTCAAATGTGAAATTGCAGAACTATTAACTGTGACTTGCAACACATCATTTAAATCAGCTTCTGTACCAAATGACTGTAGGATAGCTAATGGGACACCAATTTTTTAAAAGGTCTCTGGAGGTGGTCCTGGCAATTACAGGCAAAGGACTCCTGATTTGAGTACCAGGTAAACTGGCTGAAACTATAGTAAAGAACAGAATTGTACGACACATAAATGAACATAATTTGCTCAGGAACGGTCAATGTGCTTTTTGTAAATGGAAACCATATCACAACAATCTACTATAATTCTTTGAGGGGGTCAAAAAGCTTGTGGACAATGTTGATATGGTGGATATAATGAATTTAGATTTTCAGAAAGCCCTTCACAATGTCCCTCACTATAGGCTCTTAAGCAAAGTAAGTAGTGATAGGATAAGAGGGAAAGTCCTCTCCTGGTTTGGCAATTAGTTAAAAGATAGGAAACAAAACGTAGGAATAAATGGACAATTTTCAGAATGGGAGACATTAACAAGACTGGAACTTTTCAGCTTAGAAACAAGACAACTAAAGGGAGATATGATAGAGGTCTATAAAATTATGACTGGTATGGAAAAAGTAAATAAGGGTTATTTATCCCTTCTCACAACACAAGAACTAGAGGTCACCTAATGAAATTAATAGGCAGAAGGTTTAAAACAAACAAAAGGAAGTATTTCTTCATATATCACACAGTCAACTTGTGGAACTCCTTGCCAGAGGATATTGTGAAGGTAATACTATAACATATTCAAAAAAAGAACAAGATAAATTCATGGCAGGCAGCTCCATCAATCACTATTAGATAGTATGGGCAGGAATGGTGTCCCTAGCCTCTGTTTACCAGAAGATGTGAATAAACAGGGAATAGATCACTTGGTTACCTGTTCTGCTCATTCCCTCTGTGGCTCATGACATTGGGAATGGCTGAAGGACAGGATACTGGACTAGATGTACGTTTGGTCTGACGCAGTATGGTCATTCTTATGCTCGTCAAAAGAACACTTAATAAGTCTTTAAAAAACAATGTCTGGGCTATTAATTGGTCAGGGACCATGTACCATGGCTCCGGTAAAGTTAAAAGGCTGATTCTGCCAAGGCTGGTAGCCTAAGATCAAAAGTGTATAAAAAATTTTAAAAGTCCCCTCATACAGGCTGGTCCAGAAGAATGGCCACAGACAAAAATGTATTCTGCAGAGGGAGCCTGAAGAAATTGGGTTACCTGGCTAACATCAATGGACAGGCCTCCATGGAATCATAGAATCGTAGGACTGAAATGGGACAATGAGAGGTCTTCTAGTTCAATCCCCTGCACTCAAGCTAGAACTAAGCATTAGCTAGGCTATTCCTGATAAGGAATGTGAAACTGTATTCAGTATCCGGTAAGCATCACACTTATCAGGTGATGCTTATTGGGTGACAGTTAACTGGTGCCTGGAAACAGTCCACCATGAGTGAAAGGCTGCTCCAGCACTGCCTGGCCCACCACACTGTGGGACAGGGAGGGAGACTGCCGCTCCCCATGTGGGGCCAGCAGAGGAAGCAGCCCTGAAGGCTGGGGACTGTTCCAGCCGGGCTGGAGCGATCCCCCACCCAGGATCCCACAATCAGTTAAACCTAATCTTTAGCCAGTTAACTTATTAAACAGGATTTTACATCCTTATTCCTGATAGGTGATTATTCAGCTTGCTTTTACAAACCAATGATAGAGATTCTACAACTATCATAGCCAATTATTACAGTGCTCATCTGCCCTGAGTTTTCCCTAACATCTAATGTAAACCTCCCTTGCTGCAATTTAAGCCCATTGTTTCTTGATTTATCCTCAGTGGTTAACAAGAACAATTTTTTCCCTCCAGATCATAACAACTTTTCATATACTTGAAAACTGTTATTATCATGTCTTCTCTCAGGGTTCATCTACACTTGCTCCCTAGTTTGAGATAGGGATGCAAATGTAGATGATCGAAATTGCTAATGAAGCGGGGATTTAAAATATCCCGCGCTTCATTAGCATGATCTCGCCGGCGCGTTACTCTGCTCACCAGCTGATTTGAACCAGGAAGTGTGAGCCAGGACGCGTTAGTTCGAACCCTTTGTGAGAAAATGAGAAGTGACGTTAGTTTGAACCAAGGGGTTTGGTTCAAACTAACGCCACGCAGTGCGCACTTCCTGGTTCAAATCAGCTCTTGAGCGGAGTAACACGCCGGTGGGATCATGCTAATGAAGTACGGGATATTTAAATCCCCGCTTCATTAGCAATTTCAGTCGTCTACATTTGCATCCCTATCTCGAACTAGGGAGCAAGTGTAGACCTACCCTCTGTCTTCTCTTCATCAGACTAAACAAACACAATTTTTTTCAATTTTAGGTCAAGTTTTCTAGACCTTTAAACATTTTTGCTTCTTTGTTCTGGACTTCCTCCACATTTTTCCTGAAATGTAGTGCCCAGAAGTATGAACTCAATACACCAGTTGAGGCCATATCAGTGCAAAATTGAGCGGGAGAACTACCTCTTGTGTCTTGTTTACAACCTTCCTGGCTAATACATGCCAGAAAGATGTTTGCTCTTTTTCCAACAGTGTTACACCTTTGTCTTATATTGAGCTTGTGATCCACTATGAGAGGGGTGGCCAACCTGTTAGAGAGAAAGAGCCAAAATAGCGGTGGATAGAGTGCGAAGAACCACATACCAGGGGGGTGGGGAGGGAGTTGTTGAGGAAAAAAAAATGTTCCGGGGGAAAACAGGTGCCGGTACACCGTCCCAGGTCATACCACAACAAAAAAAGCACTGGGAAGCGGTGAGAGGTGCAAGCTCTGGGAGGAAATTTGGGTGCAGGAGGAAGTACAGAAGAGGATGCTGGCTCAGGGAGGGGGCTCCAGACTGCAAAGTGTTGGGGTCAGGTGGAGGGTTGGGGTGCTGAGCAAGCTGCAGGCTTGTGGCTGTGAGGGTGCAGAAGTTTGGGCTGGATTCATGAGGGACTCAGGGCAGCGAGGCTGGGAGTATGATGGGCTCAGGACATAGATTTCCAGTGTGTGGATGGTGCAGGAGTGTTGTGGCAGAAGACTGGGAATGTGGGGGTGCAGCAGTTTGGGGATGTGAGAGGCTCAGGACAGAGGGTTCCACTGTATGACAGACTCAGGTTTCGGGTCTGGGGGTGGTGGTGCAGGAGTGTTATGATGCTTTGGCCATATGGGGGCTTGGCCCAAATTGGGGACTTGTTGGCCAGGATTCATTTGTAAATATAATATTATGTCAAACACAAAATGTTTCAGTGTTGTCCTTATTTATGAGAGAGCTGGGAACCTGTTTTGAGTCGGGGTCACTGACCCAAAGAAAAGTCATCAGGGCCACACAAGTGAGATGCAAAAAACCAACTGCTCCAAAATCCCCCAAGCCTCACTAATGTGGCCCCAACTGTGTTGGTGAGGGCAGAGGACAGGGTGTAAATATAATATTATGTCAAACACAAAATGTTTCAGTGTTGTCCTTATTTATGAGAGAGCTGGGAACCTGTTTTGAGTCGGGGTCACTGACCCAAAGAAAAGTCATCAGGGCCACACAAGTGAGATGCAAAAAACCAACTGCTCCAAAATCCCCCAAGCCTCACTAATGTGGCCCCAACTGTGTTGGTGAGGGCAGAGGACAGGGTGCTGGGGCAGGGTACTCATGGGGGTGGGTCTGGCCAGGGAGAGGGGACAGAGACAGCTGGGGCCAGTACCTGGGGATCCTGGGTCTCAGGAAGCGCCCTGGCTGCTCTTCCATCCCCTCCCCTGGCACCCCCCCCAACCCAATCAGGCACCCACCTCCCCTCCCAACCCTAACCCTAACCCAATCCCCCTCCCTCTCCCCAGAGCCAGGCATACCCCCCAACCTACTCCCCTTCCCCTTCCCCAGAGCCAGGCACCCCCCCCACTCTAACCTAATCCCCCTCCCACCCTGCTCTAACCTAATTCTTGGGTCCTGGAGCCGCTGCTACAGTTGTGCATCTGAGACACGTGTGCTGAGTGTTCAGAACACCATGTGCACCCCTCCAACCCGATCTTCCTTCCCTCCTCTTCCCTTTCCCTAGACTCCTCCCCTCTCCACTCTAACCCAATCCCCCTCCCCCACAACTTATGTCCCGGAGCCAGAGCTGTTGCTACCACCATGCGCATTCGGGATACCATGTGCACCCCCCCACACCCAATTCTCCTCCTCTTCCCTCCCCTCCTTCTCCAGAGCCAGGCATCTCTCCCCGCTCTAACCCAATTCCCCTCCCCCACCAACCTTATGCCCAGGTCCTGGAGCTGGAGTCGCCGTTGGCGCCGCTGCCGCACCCAGAGCCCTTGCTGCTGCCTGCACTCAGCAGCCGACTACTAGCACACGCAAGCTGGGACGCTGTG